TAGGGTTGGCACCTAAGGGAAGACCTAAGTAGGTCAAAGGCCAAAAAGAGGTGGCACAACCTAGACACCTTGCAATGGATTCTACCTCCCAATCCTCCATGTTTATTCCAGCCACAAAACTTTTATCAAAGTTTATCCTCAAATTGGAAGCATGCTCAAATTCTCTTATTAAATTCCCAAGGTTATCCACCTTACTCAAATCATTCCCTTCATAGAAGATAACAATATCATCAGCAAACTAAAGGTGGGTTACCAGAATGCCTCTCCTCCCTATTCTCCAACCCTTTATTAGGTCCCCCTCATTTGCTTTGGAGATCAATCTACTGAATACATTAGCCACAAGGGTAAAGAGGAAAGAAAAAAGTGGGTCACCTTGTCTTAGACCTCTATTGGCTGGAACGAAATCCTTAACCACTCCATTGACTAAGACTGAGTAATGACAGGAATTTAGACAACCACTTATCCAACTACACCATTTGTTCCCAAAGCCACGCCTTCTTAACATCTCCAATAAGAAACTCTAGTCCACTAGATCCACTTTGGGAACACCGAGTCCAAATGGTATGAATTGGAATTTGGGCTTCAGAAGGGAACTAAGGGAAAATGAGTGTGAGTCTTTAATCCGTTTGTTGGACCTTGTTGAGAAAGTTTAGGCAAGGGTGTTTTTAGTCTTTACCTCTTCTCTTTGTACTCTTTTTGTATTTGGGTGCCCAAGTAGGGACCTCTTTGTAATTTCTTGTTTCAAAATATAAAATGCTTTTTGAGGGTGTGAACAGTAACAAGAACACATCATTCGACACATTCCTCTCTTCTTCTCCTTTCTCTCTTTCTTTCTTCCTTTCTCATACAAACCCTAGATTTGCAATTCTAGTTGACAACTTGAATGGGTATCATACAAACCCATTCAACACTTGGAAATACCTTTCTTGCTGACTCTCTTGCACAAGATGAACTGCTGATGTCAGACCACCGTCGGATGATGTCAGCAGTCCGTATAGGTGTCGGCGGCAATACATGAATCATATATGGTTTGATTCGCCCTGATTTTAGAAGATTTTTGGTATGGCTCTTGTCTTCGTCTTAAACCCGTTGTTGAAAGATTCTAGAATTTGGGTAGGCTCTCCAGATGGTCTATTTTCTTGCTCTTCTTTCTTCAGAGTAATTGCTTCCCCCAACACCCTAGTTGGGGATTTCCCTGTGAAAGAAATTTGGTGCAAGCATATTCCCCCAAAGATTCAAGCCTTCTGTTGGGAAATATTCCTTGGTTAGGTAAATACTTGTGATATGCTGCAGAGAAGAAGGCCATCCATTTTCCTTTCTCCTCATGTGTGCTCTTTGTGCAAGGAAAGTGGTGAGACCCTATCTCATTTAATGATATCTTATTCTTTTGTGCTTTGAATTTGGGAATTCTTTTGTACTCTCTTTGGCTGTAGGTGGGGTGGGCTTTCCCTCAAGATATGGCAGGACTCTTCAACTGTGACTTCTTAAGACAACGAAAGAAAAGAAGGATGGTGATGTGGAAAGCAACAAAGGCAGCAATTTATTGGGTAGTGTTGAAAGAAAGAAGTAACAGGATTTTCTTACAAAAAAGCAGAACAGTAGAGGAAGTGATTGGTAGCATCAAGGTGAAAGTAGCTCACTGGGTAAAATCCTTGGACAGCTTTCAACTCTTCTCAGTCACAGACATTTTAAGAACCTGGTCTGAAGTAGCACAATCATCAAGAGTAAGAGAAAGTAAGGATGGAGTGGAAACCACCAGAAGGCAATAATGTGGAACTGAATTTTGACGGGAGTTCCTTGGGAAATCCAAATCTTTCAGGAATAGGAGTATTAAGAAATTGTGAAAGGAGGATACTGGGTATGTTCTCAAGACAGGTTGGCACCAGAAACTCACTGAAGGCTGAACTTTTGGCATTACTAGAAGGTTTAAAGCTAGCCAAACAGTTAGGATACATGCATGTTGAGGTGGAAGGGACTAAAAAGTAGTCATTTCCTGGGCAGCAAACAGCAGCCATACCCTGTGGACGTTTAAACATGTGATTAGGGAAGTCGAGAAGGTTGTAAAGGAGGTTGAGGCTGAATTTAAATGGGCCCGAAGTAGTTGAAATGGGCTAGCTGATTGTCCAGCAAAACAAGGGGCATTGAGACAGCAATTATTTTGGGCTACACTGTAATGAGGGATAGAAAAGAGTGATTAAAGGGATCATCAGTCCCATCACCAAGTTGTATAAACTGTTTACAATCTGAAATTTAAATAAAATACATGTTTACTGATAAAAAAATCCTTAATTCAAACAGAAAAATAACAAATAAAATAAGAAATAGAGGAGCTCATGTGGGAAGCAGCAAAAAACCCTAGAAAGAAAAGCAACACATAACAGCAAAGAAACCCTGTGATATAGCTTGAAAACAATACTCATTTCTTTCAAAAAAAAGTTACTCCTCTAGAAAACAAAGATATGAGAGAGCTTTCTTCCTAAGAACAGACAGAACCTAACAATTGGAGAACCTGAAAAGCATCTAAAATTGTCCATCTCAAATGGGAAAGAATTCAATAAGATCCAAAAAACTCTTAAAAAAATATAACCCAAACCATGCAGAAGAGACTTCCATCATCATTGCTCCCTAGAACCAAAACCATGCAGAAGAAAACTTTTTTAATTTAAAACCAAAATTACCTTTTCCCATTTTTAAACTCACAGCAATCAATCTCCAACAAAACAAAATACTACTTCAATAATACAATATCTGTACTGAAAGTATCTCAGAGCAACAGTATAGCATAGAAAGATATTAAGGGAGCTCCAAAATTAACTACCTCAACTACTCCAAAAATGGACACATGTACAAAAAAAGATCCAATCTTTAAAAAGCAATATATATTAAGCCACGTTCTACAACAGGCAAAACCAGAGTGGTTCACAAGGATGGTAGGCATCCATATTATGCACAATTACATAAATAATAACTAATTATTACAATAATCAAATAACCAAATACATTTTTGCAATAAATTAAAGATTTAATTGATTCCAAGATTCCAATAATTAAATAAGTAAATAAACAGCCATCAAATAATTAAGCAAGCATCAAATTAAAGAACAGAAAAGGCAAATAGATCAATAAACTAAGAAAACACCACAGCAGAACCATCCACCTTTTCTGAAGAAGCCAACAAAAACCCAGGGAAGAATCCCAGCAGCACCATAAAACTGCAACGAATTATATAAACAATTAAATAATCGCATATGCAACAAATAGTGAAACAATTAAATAAACAACCAACAAATTACACAAGAAAAAACTAAGGCCAAAAATAAAATAACAAAACACCAAAGGAGAATTGCCTACCTTTTCGAACAATCCAACAAACAACCCAGGAAGAAACCCCTACTCCCAGGCCCCAACCCCAGTTCCACCAAAAACCCCTACAAAATAGTAACAAAACCCCAAAACCTTAACACTGTGAAACCCTAGAATTGAAAGCCTTTTCAGAAACCAACCCTAACAAGAATTGAGAACCCCAAACTGCTAGAAGAAGAGAACTGAGAACCACCGTAAGCAACTAGCAAGAACTAAGAACCCCTGCCTGCAAAGCAAAACAGAGAAACACGAAGGAAGCCTACACACACTCACAGAGGACAACAGAAAAATGAAAGAAAGAAACAGAATCAAACTATTTTTTAAGAGAAATGAGGAGAAAAGTAGGTATCATTTCCATAAAGTGGTGTTTTCTGGTTACCATCAATTGCTGTCGATGGTGGTCCTTCTCTGGTCTGTCAGTGGCAAGGAAGCACTCTATTGTGTTGAAAAAAGAGGTTTAACACTACCAAAACCTGCAAAACCTTATCATGGTGAGAGAACAGATAACGAATAAGCCCTACTCTTTTCCAAACTGCAAAAGACCAGAGCGCTGCTGAACACTGAACAACTTCAATTGACTGAGAGAGAGAGGGGCAGATCAACTGAGAGAAGGATAGCAAGATGGGGTGAGGTGGATCTGAATGAGAACTCTCAAAGCGAGAGGCATCAGGAAGAGAGAGATGGGAAGGGGAAGGAAGGAGGGGGGGGGGAAGAGAGAGAGAGAGAAGGAGAAGAAGAAGTTGGCACACACTTGATACCCTTTAGCAAAAGACCAGAGCACCACGCGTCACATGAGGAGTGCAACCGCATTCTCACTCGAGGATAACAAATGCTAAAAGGAGAAGATCCAATTGCATGCCATCTAGCACTTTAAGTATATACTTAGATATAGGTTTTTTTTCAAGAGTAAAAAGAAAAAATTCATTAAAAAAAGAAAATAATGCAATCATCAGAGGGTGATAAGGCAGCACCTGGAACAACAAAATCCACAACAATAAAGGAGCATCCTCAAAAAGAAAGAGATGGAAATACTACATAGACCTCAAGAGAAAACAATTATGTCTATGCTTAGATATAGATTATTAGGAGCCACAGAAGCATACTTTACCTTGCCTGAGAAGTCAGATGAAGACAATGCAGCGTTTTGAAAGAGGATCTTGTATGGTGGTGTTTTCTTGACAAGAATGAATACATTATCATCCTAGATTGGCTCCTTTTTTGGTCTTGTTAATCTAAATTTTGGGGGCATTATTAGCATACAGTAAAATTTCGAGGAATAAAATAATCATCACACTGTCTGTGATTCATCATTCAGCAAGTAGGTGGTGAGTTGCTGAGATGCTGAATGTTATGTTACTAGGAATATTTTTTTGTATTCCCCTTTCTTTGCAGTGATTCCTAATCAAATCCTCCAGAAATTTTTACTCATCCATGGGAACTCCTCATTTTGGAAATAGAGGCTAGATGCCATAGTTACCTTGTCTTTGGAAAAATTGACTAATTTCTCCACACATTTTTCTTTCTTTTATTATTATTTTTGTTTGAAAGATGATCCAAAATATTCATGTCAGAAGTGCATTTTGGATCGAGTCAACCACCCCTTGACAGGGTTGAGAAGGGTAGAATCCTGAAAAGCAGAAAAAGAACAAGAGAAAGAGAATAATGTCATTTGGTGGTTAAAAGGAACAGTACATGGCATACCTAATTCCAATATACACATAATAGAAAATCTTCTAAATAAAATCCATTGTTCTCAATACGATGGACATCAACCATCATTCAATTTTTCTACTAAAAACAAAAATCATCATTCTGTTCTGTTTACAGACATTATAACCATTTTTGGCTCATAGCTATAGCTTCAGCACCAACATCCCATTGCCACTGTATCATGGAAGGTCCAATTAACATTCAATATTAGCCCGTCTAAAAGCTCTAATCATCTTCTTTAACCATGAGCTCAATAGCCTAAAAAACTAATACATATTCTTAAGTGTGAAAATGCATGTAAACTTAATAATATAAAAAGAAAACATATGGAACTTTAGAATAAAATGTTTTTGTATCACAAGATCAAATCATAGTGAACAGCCGAGAAATGAGAGTATTCTGATACTACTTGCAGAGGCTCGTGAAAATTTTTTGATCTCGTCACCAACTTTAAGAAGCCTTTCCCCTGTATCACTATCATGTTTCCATCCCTCTGAAGGGTGAATAACAAGTTCCTCCAAGACAACTGCATTCGTCAGCAAGAATTTAAGCAACACGACTTCATGGACATGTCCTGAAAAATTCCATATCACAACATACTTGAGGTGATTCAATGTCCCTAGAAACTGAAACTGTGATTCCCAATAGTTGACTGATAAATCTAACTTCTCCTACATAAACAACCAGAAAATGAGAGTTAAAACAACAACTTTACAGACATCTAAACAAGTTAATGGATACAATAAAATAATTGCATTTCTGAAATGGAACTTGATGACCTACCTCATTTCGATTTCCCTCCACTGGGTGCCATGGGATTTTCTCCTAGACAGCAATGAAAATTGAAACATTTTTTGATAAATAATGAAAACTGAAATATTAAAATGGCATTTTATTTATCAAAGAAAGTTCACTGTTAACCAAGGACTTGGATATGTGATAAACTGAAGCTACTAAGTTCAGATTATCACCTCAATTATTTCCAAGACAAGCGTCTCTATACTGGGAGATCCATTGAGTAAGTAAATCATTCCACAACAAGGCCGTGCTTTAAGCTTCAGATAATTTAGATTAGGAAATGGAGCAGGCAGAGCTTCTTCCAACAGATCAAAGACTTCTGAGATAATCTTGAAACAGGAAAAGAACACTTACATTTTAATAAATTTATCAGTTATATAGAAGAAAAAGAGGAAATAAACGGAGGTGATAGAGCCCTAAAATAGACAGGACAACCATCTAATATCTTATAGGGACCAAAAACATAATGGTTGAAACTTGGCAACCTTCTTTCATATACCATTTTAGGGCCATGATCTTCCCTGGAGTTGCAAAATAAGAAATTGGTCCAGTGTCAATGGGGTGAGCTTTATCACCATTAATCCATGGGACGGGTTTTTACATTAATTCCAAAGAGAGAGTGAAGCATGTGTGTGTTAGTAGCTGCTGTCCAACCGTGTAAGTGCTGATGTTTTTCCAAAAGCAGGGAAGTTATAAACAGGGGAGATAGGTTAGGAGGATTGAACATTAGATTGGCCAACTCCTCTACGTTATTTGATAGCATGAAAAACTGCATACATACCATTACTAGTTCATGGCTTTCTTTACTAGGCAAAGGAGAAATCAAATTATTACCTTGAGAGACCAAAAGGAGAATATTAGATACTTTGCATTATAAAGCCCTTTAAGCCATTTGATCAGACAATTAGCATGCTTTTTCTTCCTTCGTAAAGAAAGGGATCCAATGTCAATATAAGAATTATGATCCAAGTAGAAGTCAATATCTGCATTGATTATCTCAGAGAGGTTCCCCAGATAATACTCTCTTGTGATGTAATCGCTACATTTAAATGATAAAAGATTCGGAGCAGATATTTTGATTTTGCATTTGTCTGGACGATCAAAATCTTCAAACTCATCCTCGTCAATATACAATTTCTCGTGACAAATTTCTATAACCAAATTCTTAAGCAGAAGGGAAGTAATATTGAGATTACCCAGACGCTTAACTTTGCAGTTTGTAATTATTAAAGATTCCAAAGCCGGGCACTTCGAAGAGAGATCATCAATTAAATCTCCGTCCATCAAAGAAAGTGATCTAAGATGTAGAACCTTGAGCCTGGGTAAAAGTGACATAGGATGCAGAAGTGATCTAATATGTATAACCTTGAACCTAAGTACAACCGTAGAATTGGGTATCACAAGCACGGGATGCCTTGAACCCAAACTCAATTTTAATACTCTCAACGACTTGCAGGTAAAGAGACAGTCAGGCAACTGCACTGATTCATCAGCAGAGATGTCAAAATCAAGCTCTTGGATGTTACACCTTACTAAAATGTGAGTCCATGTAACAACACGACCAATATTCATGCAACTGCCACAGGAAAGCTGGAATTTCAGTACATTGGAACCATCTCGAAAAAGAAGAACCCGGTCCACGAAATCCATAAAGCGGTTCGTTCTGCGGTCTTCTTCGCCTCTTACGGGCTTGGGCTCCCAAAAAAGGTTTTGATCGAAGTTCAGATATGGCAGAGAAGTCCAGACATGCTTCCATCTTTTCGACAAAATGCTTGTTTGAACTGCGTATTTCGTGTCGGTGAAAGATAAAATGTGATGGAGTATTGTGTCTGGTAAACCACTTATACGGTCTCTATTTTCTATGGCATGCGAAGGCTTCAACTCATCAGCATCAGAGCATGGCAGATCACTTCCTTCCATTTTATCGGTGGTTCAGCTTGTCTACGACCGTTTACGAGACAAAATTTGCTGAGGGATGAAGGATGAACTATTGCCCGCATAACCTCCCTTCACTAAAGAATGTTTCTACAATATAAAGGAGAGCACTGAATTGATGACACAGAGAAGAGGAGGAACGTGCATGGTGGAAATTGACGGAGCGGTGTTTGGAAACTTGGAATTACTGAATTCCTACGCAGAATGGCCGCGAGCGCGAAAGGGTGAAGTCGTGAAGGAGAAAGATTTGGGGATTCAGTTTTACTACGACATGGTTTTAGCGCAGGGCCAAAACCGTGAATCGTGGCCTTTGATTTAATATATTGTTTTGGTCCCACCACGATTTTAGTGGGGCCATAATAATTCATCGAAGGCTTTGATTTCATGCTCCGCAGCGCTAAAAACCACGTCGTAGCAAAATTGTCTTTCGTTATTGAGCCTCATCTCCCTTCTTTTCTTTTGGTTATTAGCGGCGACCGTGTGATGTACGGAATTTGTTAAGTTAAAAGATAAATAATAGAAAAATATAAGAATATATTTGTTTTATATAATTATTTATTACTTTTAATAATTTTTTATATATAAAAATAATAATAATTAATTTTAGATATGGTTGTTTATCAAATTTAGGGATGACAATTTTTTTATTTCTTTGATTTCCGTGGGGATCTGCCTTGAATTGGGCGGGGATGGGGATGATTTTCTCCCTATAAAGATAGAGATGGGGAAATTTTCATCCCCGTTGGTGGGGACAGAGAGAGCACTCTCTGCCCAACGTGGACCCTGATCCCTGCTAATATATATATATATATAGATAGATAGATAGATAGATAGATAGATAAATATATTTATATATGTTAATATTTTTAAAAATTTGGTTGAATATGTTTGAATCTTTTCTAATAGAATTGTAAATTTTAATTATTTTATTTTCATGTTTTAAATAAAATCAAAACAAAAACATTATGGTTAACATTATAAAGAATCATGGGGAGTGGGGATCCCAGTGGAGACGGGGATGGGGATAACATTGTCCCCGTTAGTGGAGATGGGGATGGGACATGGATGGGGATTTTAGTGGGGACAAGGATGGGGAGAGGCTCTTTGTCCCCACCCTGCCTCATTGCCATTTTGAATCAAACTAATGAAATTGACCAAACCGATTTCTAGTATTTCTAGTTGGCTTTTGCAAACAATTTTCCATCCGGACTAGGTTGGATTAGTTTCGCTTTGGCCATTTGTAAACTGACTAAAATCAAACGGCATATATATATATATATATATATATATATATATATATATATATATATTTATATTTTAATACGAGAAAGTGGAAAAATTCCAATATTTCTTAGGCTAAAAAAGTTTATATCATAAATTTATTTTTAATAATGCCATTTTATTTTTTAAAATTTAAACTTAATTTTTAAATTTTACTTTTTAAGTTTAAATTTTTTGAACCGACCGACTAAACCGAAAATTGACCCAAACCGATTTAACCCGAGTGACCACCCCCTAACTTGAGTAGGTCGAATTGGCTGGCCAAACAACCTACAACTGAATCGAACTAACCCGTGAACAATAGTTAATGTCCAATAATTTATTAAAAATTTATAGTGAAAATACATAATAAATTAAATTTAAAATGCTAAATAATAGTAGTTTCAACTCCAATAATTATTGAAAATTTTCTATTAAATAACAAAACAAAAATAGATTTATACATAACTATTGAAAATATATTAATCACAAAAGAATAAATACTAAAATACAATAAATATTAATTTTAATATAGATAAATATATAATAAATAAAGATTAAGTTTTAAAATTATTAATGAACAATAATTTTTTGAAAGTTATTTCCTAGAATTATTAATTGGTATAAATGAAATAATTATTTAAAAAATTAATTATTTATTGAAATAATATCATTGTTTAAATTTTAAAATATTAATTCCTTGTTGAATTTAATAATCCATAAAATTATATTAATACATAATTTTTTTATTTTAACTATTTAAAATCTAGTTATGTTAAATATTTCATTATTTAAAATATTTAGTTATTTAACTAAATATTTAAAATCTTAATCTATTTATTATAATTGAAAGTTACTCAAAAACTATTTAAAATATATTATTAATTGATTTAAAATATTAACTTTATTTTATTATTTATGATATTTAGTTGTTGAAATATTTAAATAATATTTCGTTTTTAATGTTAGATTTTTATTATTTGAATAACTTTTAGATTGAATAATCCAGAAAATCATAATTTATATTGTTTGTACATAATTTTGTAAAAATATATAATTATTAATAATATGAATATTATTAAATCGTTTATAATTATTTTTGTCTTTTTAATAAATATTTTAAAGTTATTATATAATTTTGTTAGAATATATAAATAATTCTTAAATTTTTTTAATTCAAACTTTCTTTAGATAGATGTAGATAAAAAGTGGGGGAGAAGATAAATAATAATTAGAGATAATTTAGGAGAGAAACTCTCTACTAAATTATAGATAACATAGGAGAAAGTTGGGGATGGTGGGGGAGTTTGTTTAGGAAAAATTTTAGGATATTAAATTGTTTAGATTATTGGAACATGTGTGTGTGTGTGTGTGAGAGAGAGAGAGAGAGGTTTTAAGAAGATTCTTTTGGGGAAAGTAGAGTTTCTAGTTGGTAGTTTCGAAAATGACATGGATTAATTCTAGACTTCCTATATATGACCCCCTATAAAGACTCCTATACTTTAATTTGCAACAAAGACCCCTTAACCTTTTATATTGTGACAAATACCCTTTTGTTCATTAAGTTTGATGACAGAAGGCGTTAAATTACCAAAATACCCCACTAAACTTTTTCTATTTTCTTTTTTTTTTCATTTTCTCTTTAAACCTAATTACTCAAAACAGCTTTGATCTTCACTAGATAAGGAAAGAATCTAACTTTTAAAACCGTTGATAGGAAAACAAAAGAGAATCCATGACGTATCTTCAATCTCTCCATACTCTCTAGCACAGGAAGCAATACTCCCTCTCTTCCTATCTCTCTCTTTCTAGTATTGTTCTTTTTGTATAAGAAGAATCCATCTCCAAATTCTCATTTTCTTCATTTGGCAGTGACAACTTCTTGCTTCCGCAAATACGCCATAAAAGTGAAAGACTCTTCTTGTGGAGGTACTTCAACACAGGGTTGTCATCCTCCAGTATCACTAATCCCCCTCAATCCAAAATGCGGATGTAGTCACTTGTTGCTAGAGAATAAAGCTCTCCACCCAAAAAGCAGCTCTTGATCATAGTTACATGGTGTAAAAACCTTATGGACCAAGGTCTCATCATCAACTACGGCGACAATCCATCTTCCACCCTCAAAGACCAATTCACGGTTATTCAAGAAGAAGAAAGGCAACTAGACGTTGGAATTTGAAAATTCTAAGATTGAAGTCTTCTAGGATCTCTCCACAACTAAGTATGGATCGGAACCTGAACCAATTGATGCATGCAATGTTCTCTATACACAAGTTGGTTGTACCAATTAAGGCCAACAGAGATGTAGTCATCGCCGGTCTTGATGTTAGATCTCAAGATCATGGCAGTCGATAATGATTCTACATGAATGCCATCAGTGTTTGGGCAGGTTTCCTAAAGCTGCAATCTTCACCCCTTACACATTGACATTCTAGCAATCGTTGATCACAATGTGGTATAACTGGCTATTTATCGATAATAATCTATTGATCACAATGTTCTTTGAATTTGTAAAGGTTAGAGACTGTACTAACAAGTAACAACCCACAAGCAAAGAAGAAATGGCAGTATGTGTATTTTGGAATTTGTTCTGTTATGTGCTTCATGTATGGTATGGAATTCGGTGGTCAATTCAACATTTTCTTGTTATTCTTATCAAGTTAAAAGGTTATATTAAGAGGGTCATTGCAAAAGAAGTTAAAAGGTTCTATGTTGTGGTCATGGTTCACACAAAGCTTGGCCTAGTTCTTGGAGATATGTCATAAGAAGTGATCAGCAATGGAGGGCCGAATTATTCCATGTGATGGGCCATTAAACCCTTAGCCCATAGTCGAACTTGAACCACCTAAAACATGACCCATGGGGCTGAGATTAGACTCCATTGAACCATGGGTTTGGTCCAACTAGTTTGGACCAAACTAGGTCAATTCGGCCTAGGATTTGGTGTCCAAAACATGCTACAATTCATGGGAATTCGATATGAAATTATTAATAGCTGAATATTGACAATCAATTACTGTAAAACAAATAATCTAGAGTTGCAAGTGTGATGGTCCGAATCTGATCCGGGCGAATTGCAAACCTGCAAGAAAACTGGTTAATCGCAAATTGCAGATATTTTTGCAAAATTTTCTTCTTCCCCTCCGCGCGCTCTAGTAGGTCTTCCAATGTAAAAAAAATAGAAAACCTTAATTTTCTATTAATTATATCAGAATAAATCCTAATACATTTTGTCTAAAAATAAAAAAAGAATTATTTAGAGACCAATTGTCAAATAAATAAATAGTTGGGTGTTTAAATCTTGGAGCCAATAAAGAATTCGATCTTCATCACACAAACAGCCAAAAAATCCAAGAAATAATAATAGAACAATTCTAAAATTATATCAGAATATATCAAAATTAATTTTAGGTCAAATCACCCAAAATCTGAGAACCGATTTCTCAGAAAACTACTAATTGCGCAAATCGGCTAGAACAGTTCTACCGATTTCAGTCTTGTTTCAGATCTGATTTTATTTCGGTTCAGGATTGAACCTGACTCTGATACCACTGAAGGAAGAGGAAATCCATCATATGGATGGCCGGACCATGCTAAATGGCTGGGCAAAATTTTAAAAATTTTCTTTTACCTTCCAAGGAGTCATATTCCCACTTTTAGAAAAACTACATTTTTCAATGATCGTTCTTACACCAAACTAGACCAAATCTGAAACTAAAAGAAAGGAAAAAGTATACCCGATAAGGAATCCACAAGTGTAGCTCCCAAAGTAGTAGTTCACGCCCAAAGAGGATACCAAAACCATCTTCCACTAAAGATGGTATAGCTTGAATTGAAGCCGATTCAACAACATAGTCCTTTAGCAAGAACTGAAATCTAACAACTTGGATCGAGCAAGGGAGGTGAGTACGAATTGGATCTGATATTTGTTTGCAAAAATTAGATATCAAAACTAATCTTTATTAGTTCAAGAACTGGAGGGCAAACTAGGGTTTAGGGAGGCAAGAGCAGGAGA